AAAAGCCTGCGAAAAAGAAAGGAAAGGGGCAATCTAGGAAGACAGAAAACTTTTAGACAGTAACCGCCCTACCCTCAGCCAAACATTGTGGAAAAACCATGGGTCCATCCCCATCCTTGTCAGTAAAAGCGGCACAGAAAGCTAAGACTTCCACCCTTGCCCTGCTTTAATGAGATATCCCTTCCCCTTCTGTCTCAGTGGTATCAGAGATAGACCAAATGAGTACTAGGGACTTTTATTACTACCCTGTGATAACAAGTATATCTCTATGATATCAATGGAGGCCTCTTTGGAGTCTGGGACACTTCTACCCAGTGGTGACAAGTCACTCCTCCTATTCCCTACCTCCCAGTGTCAACAGAGGCTGAATGAGCCCCAGAATATTCCCTACCCTCCAGAAGTAACAAGGCATCTTCCCACACAAAGATGTCAGTGGAGACCACATGGGAAGCAGTAATAATGTGTTTCTTTTTCTTCTAGCCAGGGTGGCATTATTAGAAGCCAAGTGAAGAGCTGAAACTCTCACTTTTTCCCAAAAGTTAGAAAGCACTCCTCATCTCAGGGCTGTCAAGGAAGGTTGAGTGGGAGATTGGATTTCAATCCACCACTTGGTAGTAATGATAGGGTGCCTCCCCTCCCATCATAGGTATGGTGTCAGAGGAGGCCTGCTAAACAGAATATTTTAAATATATCCAGGGTCTCATAATATTATATACAAAATGTCTAGGATAAAATTTTTTAAATCATGTTTCATAACAAGGACTAGGAAAATTTCAACTTAAGTGAGAAAAGACAATCAACTGATGTCAATGAGATGACACAGATCTTGGTATTAATCTGAAAAGAATTTTAAAGCAGTCACCATAAAAATGCTTCAATGTACAATTATGAATTTTCTTGAAACAAATGAAAGGAGCGGAATGCCACCAATACTGATGATCTATCGTCATGGATGGACACAACTTACCAATTAAATACTGAAGTACATACAATATGGGTGATAAACAGGCACTGTCTTGGGTTTATCCAAGTGTCCTCCTGAGGTTTTCCCACAATCAGGAGTCAATTGGTTAATACCTGGCCTGGCAGTGATCCTCCAAGACCCTGCATAGCCTCTAGCCAGCACCTTGTTAATTATTTTTGACATCATTCAACATTTAACATCGTATTCAATGTTGTATTGTCTTTGCTCCTTTGTCAAAGATGTTGATATTTATGTGGGTCTATTTATGACCTCTATATTCTACTTCATTGATCTATTTGTCTAGTCTTTCACCAATATTACACTGTCTCAATTACTGTAGTTTTATAGCAAGTCTTGAAGCCATATAGTATCACTCCTCCAACTTTATTCTTTTCCTTTAATATTGTTTTGGCTTTCCATATAAACTTCAAAGTCACTTTGTTGATATCCACAACATAACAATCGATGTAATTTTGATTGGAATTGCATTAAATATATACATATAAACTTGGAAGAACAGACATCTTGACAATATTGACTATTCCCATTTATTTCTTCATTTATTTATTAGCTCTTTGATTTCTTTCATCAGAGTTTTGTAGTTTTCCTCATATATATCTTGTACATGTACAAGATATATATGATTTATATATAAAGCATATATATCTTATATGATTTGATTTATACCTAAGTATTTCATTTGGGGGGTGCTAATGTAAACAGTAATGTGATTTTAATTTTATATTTCACTTGTGCATTGCCAGTTTATAGGGATGTGACTACGTTTTTGTATATTAACCTTATATCCTGCAACCCTGATATAATTGCTCATTAGTTCTAGTTTTTTTTTTTTTTTTTTTGGTCTATTCTTTCAGATTTTCCACATAGACAATCATTTCATCTGTGAACAAAGAGTTTTATTTCTTCCTCCCCAATCTGTATAACCTTTATTTCCTTCTTGTCTTATTGCATTAGCTAGAACTTGTAGTATGATGTTAAAAAGGAGTGGTGAGAGGATACATCTTGCCTTGTTCCTGATCTTAGTGGGAGGGTGTCTATTTTCTCAGCATTGTGATCTTAGCTAGAGGTTTTATAGATTTTCTTTATCAGGTTAATGATGTTTCTTTCTATTCCTAATTTGCTGGGAGTTGCTTTTTTATTATGAGTGAGTGTTGGAATTTCTCAAATGCTATTTGAATTTATTTATATGAGCATGTGATTTTTTTCTTAGCCCATTGATGTAATGAATTACATTAATTGGTTTTCAAATGTTGAATGAGCTTTGCATACTTGGAATAAATTCCACTTGGTCAGGGTGTATAATTCTTTCTATACATTGTTAGATTGATTTGGTAATATTTTTTTGAGGACTTTGCATCTATGTTCATGAGACATAGCAAAGGGTGTTTAGCTGTATTTTCTTGCAATGTCTTTGTCTGGTTTTGGTACTAGGGTAATGTTGCTGGTCACATGGAATAAGTTAAGAAGTATTCCCTCTTCTGAAAGAGATGGAGAATTGGTATAATTTCTTCCTTAAATGTTTGACAGAATTCACCAGAAAATTCATCTGGGCCTAATGCTTTCTCTTTTAGAATGCCATTAATTATTGATTCAATTTCTTTGATATAGGCCTATTCAGATTGTCTATTTCTTCTTGTGTGAATTTTAGAAGATTGTGTCTTTCAAAGCATTGGTCCATTTCATCTAGGTTATCAAATTTATAGGCATAGAATCATTTACAATATTAACTATCCTTTTAATGTCTTTAGAAATTGCAGTGATATCCCTTCTTTAACTTTTAATATTAGTAATTTGCATCTTCTCTTTTAGACTGGCTATTGATCTTTTTGAAAAACTTACTTTTGGTTTTCTTGATTTTCTCTATTGATTTCATTGATTTCTGGTTTAATTTTTATATTTATTTTCTTTTGCTTCTTTTGTTGATTTAATTGGCTCTTTTTTCTAGTTAGCTAAAGTGGAAGCTTAGATTATTAATTTTAAACCTTTCTTCTTTTTTTAAAGCCAGTCAAATTTGGTGGTGGAGAGGTATATCAACTTTAGTGACCATAATCATAATGTCAATACGTTCTGATACCTCACTACCATCAGACCAACCCTTTTCTTCTTTTATAAAAGATGCTTTCAATGTTATAAAATGTTTTCTGAATACTGCTTTTGCTGCATCTCACCATGCAATACATTTAGATTCAGCACTTATTACAAGCAATACATTGTAATGGAAAGAGCACTCATCAGTGCCAGAAGACCTCAATTTAAGTCCCACCTTGGCTTTGTGTTCCAAGAGGCTTTGTGTCTCTTTGAGTCTCAGTTTTCTCATCCATAAGAATAAAATTTATTAGTAGTTACATAACAGTTCAAAGCAGTGAATTGTAAATGATAAGTGAATACTAACCATTTTAAGACATTTTAGATCACTGTGAAATGGAATAGTCATGAGGATTTATGAAGGGAACAAGGCTTGATATTTTCAAATAAAAGCATTTTAGTTCTAAAAATATTCCCTTTAGCACTGCTATGGCTGCATCTCACAAGTTTTGGTGCGTTGTATTTTAATTTTCAATTAGTTCCATGCATTTTTAAATTTCCTTTGAGACTTCTTTGATCCATGGATTTAGAAATGTATTTTTTTAAATTTATGATTGTTAAAAATTAACCCTCTGATGTTTGCTTTATGGTCTAGGATATGTTCTATCTTCATAAATGTTCCATGGTTATTTGAAAACGTGTATTCTGCTGTTCTTGGTGGAGTGTTTTATGTATGTCAGTCAGGTCCTGTTGATTGACTATATTGTGCAGATCTTATATATACCCTCCCCCTTGATGTTTTCTTTTTCTGTTTCTTTTCTTTTTTTTCTGCTTTTCCACGATTTTTTCCTTTATCATCTTCTCTGTTTGAAGAACTTTCTTTTAGCCATTCCTTAAGGGTAGATGTGAGGGTAAAAAAAAAAATTATCTTAGATTTCCTTAGTCTGAGAATGTCTGTATGTCTATATTACTTTCAGCACTTAAAAAAATGTCATGTCACTTCCTTCTTCCAGGGCTTTATATAGATACCCACTGTCATTCAAATTATTGTTCCCATATAGGTAACATGCAGGGTTTGTTTGTTTGTTCGTTTGTCTGTCGTTGTTGTTTTCATTTTTTGTTCTGTCTTTACTTTTTAGAATTCAAGTATGCTGTGTCTGGGTATAGATTTATTTAGGTTCATCCTATGTGAGGATCACTCAGCTTCTTCAATCTGTAGGCTTATACCTTTTGCCAAGTTTGGGAAGCTATCAACCATTCTTTCTTCAAATATTCTTTCTGTTGCACCCTCTTCCTCCTCATCTGAGCTTCTTAGACTCTGTTCATTCAGCCTATGTTCCCTGTTGTTTGGATTCAGTAAATTCTACCAATGTGGCCTCAAGTTCACTAATTCCATCTTCTCTTACCTCTACTATTGAGCTCACCCAATGAATCTTTCAGTTGAGTTACATTTTCCAGTTCTATACTTTTTTATACTTTCCTTTTTTTAAAACTTCTACGCCTTTGTTAAAATTTTTATTTTTTCATTTATGTCAAGAGCATTTATAATTGCTTATGGAAGCATTTTTTATGATGGCTGCTACTTTAAAATCTTTTTCAGGTAATTCCAACATTTGAATTATCCTTGTATTTGTGTCTGTTGATTGCCTTTCCTCATTCAAGTTGTAATGATCTGGCTGGGCACGGTGGCTCACACTTGTAATCCTAGCACTCTGGGAGGCCGAGGCAGGTGGATTGTTTGAGCTCAAAAGTTGGAGACCACCCTGAGCAAGAGCTAGACCATGTTGCTACCAAAAATAGAAAAAATTAGTCAGTCATGGTGGCACATGCCTGTAGTCCCAGATACTCTGGAGACTGAGGCAGGAGGATTGCTTGAGCTCAGGAGTTTGAGGTTGCTGTTAGCTAGGCTAACGCCATGGCACTCTAGCCTGGGTGACAGAGCAAGACTCTGTCTAAAAAGAAAAAAAAAAAGTTGTAATTTTCCTTGTTCTTGGTATAATGGAACTCTGGGGCATATTTAATTAATCTATTTTAGCAGGTAGTCACCCTGTTTAGGTTTAGCACATAGGTCCTGGTATAATTTTGTGCTCTAATGATGGCATAATTTTCAGAGACTTTGATGTGCTATTTTGTTTGGTTTGGTTTTTCTGGTGTCACTGAGCCTCCTTTTGATCCATGCCGTAGCCAGTTGGTGACTCTGGATAAGGAAAGGTATTCTCCAGCTTGAAGGAACAAAGAGTGTTTCCTGGATTGGACAGCTTGCTGTGTTGAAGTTCACCTTGGCAGGTGCTATCTGGTGTCTTTTTGGAGGGGCAGGTGGGGAGGCTGGCTCGCAGAAATGAAGAGCAGTTGCACTGGCCACTTAATATCAACAAGGATCCTTCTCAATCTTCCTTTCCAGCACTTTCAGACCCACCTGGAGTTGTCACTAGGACTCCCCTGTCATCTTGGGATGCCTTTTGCTAAGTTGGGAGATGCTGGGCATGAGTCATCTTCTGTTTCTGGGTAGAGGGTCATAAGATGCCAAGTTGCTGTGTTGCTCTTCCAGTCCTGTGTCCCTAGCCAATCTGCCTTCCTCTTTCTACCTTTTGGGGTACTTCTATTGTTTCTTTCATGATTTCTGGGGAGAGATAGGGAGAGACAAGTCTATGACATTTTGTCCAAACTAAAAACCTAATTTATATTCTCGAAACATCACTTTTGTATGTGAAGAATCAATTTTAGGGGCTAGAGAGAATGTGAGGGAAGTAAGCAGGAGGCTACTATAGTAGTCTAGATAACAAATGGTTGTGTTTTAAACTGAAGTGATAGCAATGGAGATAGAAACAAATGAATGGACTAAAGGTATTTGGAGGTAAAACAAAGACTCACTTATGTGCTGGCACTGGGAATTTCTGGCTTGAACAATTGTATGGATGGCCACTTAACTGTCAAAATATTTCCTTATATCCCCACATGAAGCAAACCTACCAGAAAACCCTTTCTTAAATATGCAGGCATTGAACTTTCATTCCTTGACCCGAAGGCAGGATTTTGTACTAAGAAGAAATTCATCCCATCCTATCTACCACTCCTAGTCTGTCAGATTCAAGACTGGAACCAAGCCAAGGGCCTTCTGGTCGCATATAAATGAAAACCATTAATTTATTGGAGTCACCAGAGTATACATGGTTTTTGTGAGCCTCCATGTTAACTTCAGGCCTAAAGGGTTCTGCTGATATTAAATGCATTGATTCTGCAATGGCTTAAATACTAACACTTAGATAACTAGCAATCTAAACACCTCCTCTACTCTCACTGTGTTTCTGAGATTTCCAGTAAAGCTTTCCAGAAAGCTGCTGACCATGATAAAACAGATGAATGATAGGCTCTGGCTTGTATTTCCTCCTCCGATGTTCAACATTATATGGTAACTAAATACCAGCTCTGTGGGTTTCTACATTTTATCAGAAAGGGTTGCTAACTAGGCAGACAGGGTGCTGGGCAGACAGAAAAGTTGGAATCAATACAGGTAAGAAAAATGAAGATTAGTGGATTTTTCCATGACATAGGAGAATGAAACAGGTATTTGCAGTCAAATAGATGAACACTTAAATCCCTGGTCAACTTCTAGTTGAGTGGTCTTGGATAATATTACTTAATGTCTATGAGCCTTTGTTTACTCAAATGTAAACTGGGATATCACTCTACAGAAATGAGTTAAGTCAAATTCAGTCAGGAATTAGAATGCTTTGTAAAGTGTAAAACACTATGTACTTCAGTTATCATCTTTACTCTCCCTGTTTCTCCACTTGTCAGGTGGTACAGTATTGTGGAGACTGCAGTGGGGGTGGATCTTCTTACCCCATACCTAATCTATCACTTGTCTACACTTTCTGACCAAGGTTTCATAGAGGCTCAGACTTGCAGGTCACAAAGGAATACTGCTATAGACACCCAAGAATATGGCTCTGTCTTATAAAGAGGTTTCCAAGTTGCAAGCAGATGTTTCATATCCCGACTACCAAAAAGGGACCATCAGCAATGTGCCCACCTCTCCTTGTCCAGTAGACATGTTTAAGTCTTTTCTCAGACTTCTATTTCCCTTTGGCAACTTTTCTTAGCAATCAGAAAATTTTTGTCACCTATGGGATAGTTCCTTCTCTAGGATGGTACTAATCACTCTGACTTTGAGGTTTCCTCTGGGACAGTTTCCTCATCTCCAAACCACAAACTTGCAGGCTCCACAAATGAGAGACAGATCCAAACTATACTTTTCCACTGTCCAGCCTCACGTGCTTTCTGTTTCAATCATAGTCACACCTCCTAGAAGCCACAGGTACCAACAAAGTCACAAAATTTAGTCTTTTTGTGTTCTAACAAGTACTTTAATAGACAGATTTTGTTGCCTAAAACATGGAAAGGCCACTCAATATTCCCGTTAGTGCCACTGTGTAGTAACTTGGAAGCTCTAAGGAGCTTCTGAATCCAGAGGTTGTAGTTGCCCATCCACCACTTCTCCAAAGTAGTTCACTGCCAAGGAGAGTCAATATTCAATTTGAATTCCCAATTCCAACCCTACCCCCAATTTCCCAACATGACTATGTTCTTAGCCTTTTGTTTAGATGTGAGTTATCTTCATAGCTCACCTGGCCTCAGTTCAAAGTGAACTCGCTTGAAAGCAGTAGAAACCTGATCAATGAAGTTTTTTCTTAGTATCTACTTTGTGAGAAGGATCAGTTCCTAGGAATTTTCGGACCTTCCAAGTGTAAGAAGGTGATATAATATAGCCATTGAAATTTGCAATGTAGGATACTAGGGTAGTCACTTATCCCCAGGTGCCCAAGTGGAACAAAGAAACTGAAGAAAAAATAAAACCATATAATTTCCATGTAAATAAATAAATGAAGAAATACCCAGATAAGTTTGATTCCTTTCTCTGCCTCTCCACTACTCATACCCCTTTGACAGTGGGGTTAGATGCTAGTCCATGGCCTTCTGAGAGTGCGCTTCAGATGTGCTTCCTGAGGATATCCCCAGGTTCCAGCTGTTACTGCTTTAGAGACAGAAGCTTGAAGCTGTCATCCAGGATGGACCTCCTATTGCGTCGTAACTTCCTTTGCCGATGCTGGTACCAAACTACACCACCAAGAGCCACAGCAATGAGCAGGAGGATGACACCCATGGCAATCAAAACAGAAGTCAGCATCTCAACATTCTTTATGGGGATCTGCATGCCCAGCATCCTCACATTGCCTTCACTAATGTCTCTGGGGATTGCTGCTGAAATGGAAAAAAAGGAAAATGGGCATCCTGGGATAGAGAATATTCTAAAAGTTTGCCTTTTTCAGTCATCTCCCAGAGACAAAATCCCATTCAAATAAGACAGCACACCTGTCCCTAACTTTCAAACAACCATCTAATGAAGACACATTCAGAGGTTACAGATAATCATAGAAACATGATGCTACAGCTGAAAAGGTCCTTGAGAATCAATGTGGTTCCAGTTCACCCATGGAAAGAGCTATGACTCAGAGTGGGAAGGCCCTTGATTTATTTCCTCAAGTATCTAAAGGCCTAAATGTAGAAAACAAGGAAGAATTGGACTTCGTCTGCATGGTTTCAGAGGGTAGAATTGAAAGCAATAAGGAAAACTCCAGAAAGAAGTTTGACTCAGTCATCCAGCTTATCAATGTTAATTTTGACCACTATATCATGACAACAATCTGACACTGTGCTGTATAGTCTCTCATATCTTTGGGTCATATTAACACTGATGTCACACAGATCTTTCAAGGTGAAATATCTGGTTGTGTTAGTTTCTGGCATACAAACATTTGATTGTTCCCAAGTAACCTACAGTGTAAAGCTCACACTCTTTAGTCAGACATTCCAATACTCATAATTAGGGTCCGCTACCTATCTAGTCTTATCTATTATTCTTCAGCCATATCAACTTATTCTTTGTTCTCTAAAACAAGTGATCCTCTTGCTCATGGTACTCCCTTTGTCTAAACACACTCTTCCTTCCCCTTATCTTTTTAGCCCCAGCTTAAATGTTACATGTCTCTGCAAAGTTTTCTTCAATTTAGTTAGGCAATTAACGGTCCTTTCCTCTATGTTTCCGAAGTGCTGTACTTTGTACTCTCACAATTTACTTACTGTGTGATTTGGGCCAAGTGACCTAATCTCTCATTCCCCATCTAATCTGTTTCCTATTTTATAAAATGGGGATAACAATCATGCCTAGCACAGAGGCTTATTGTCAGATTTAAGTAAGTTAATACTTATACAATATTTGGCATAGCACCTAGAAATAGCAAATGCACAATGTTAGCTGTTATTATTGTTTGCCCATTTTGTGCAACACATAGCATCCAGCTTTGCAATTATTGTTTTGGTATGTCATTCCACTTTTAGACACTAGAAAGTAGCAACTATGTCTTACTTATTTCGGTAACTGTGATACTTGACAACTGTTTGATGAATGTATAACTGGCTGAATGAATGTTCTAACAGAACTGAGAGAAGATGGAATGTAATGAGTTCAAACAGAAGCTGGAAAACATCCTTGTTCTGAGTTTACATTCTACCACTTATTCCTTTTGTAACAAATCACTTTCCATCTCTCAGTTTCTTGTGTAGAAAATTATTGAGTTTTATTAGACCAACAGTTTTCAGGGTATTTTCCCCATTGTGGAACCTTTTTAACAAATGAGAGCTTATGAGGAATGTATGCATGTACACAAAATATATATGTACATATATAAATATACACACAAAGTATGTATATGAAAACATGTGTGTGTGTGTGTGTGTGTGTGTGTGTGTGTGTGTGTATAATAAATGAGCTACTTGGGTTGCAGGAAACACAACCTGAAGCTCCATCCATTCAACTTCACCTTATCTCTCTCCATCCCCTCAAGGACATACCCTGGACCCTTGCTTAATAGTTCATAAATTACTTATATCATTAGGACTTCTCCAAACATAGCTGAAAAACTTCCAGACTAAACTGATGATCTCTAATGTCCCATTTAGCTCTTACAACTTTCTGAATCTTTCCTAGTCCAGTTATAAATGGGGTGGAGAATAAGAACACTATTTGGACCTAGGCTGCATAAGACAATAATCACTATTTTCTTGAAAGGCAGACATGGCTGGTTCAACTGTGTGATATTCCATAGATGAAGGAGAAAAAGGCAAGAATAAAAAAGCTCTTGAAAACCATCTGGTATTTGTTCTAGTCTCACACCGTCCCTGTGGGGAATCCATGTCTGTGCTACAACCCTCTGATGCCTAACCCAGCAGGACCTAAGACTTTCCTTCCCCTTATACGTTAGGTGGGAGGCTAAGACAGCAACCTCCAACTGAGAATGACACTGTTTTCCCGAACTCAGGAGGTTGGGGTTGGGAGCCAGAGAGAATAAACCTGCTAAGGAAAGCTGACCCTTGGTTCCCTGGCTTCTAAAGTCTTAAAGAAATCTCAGATTCTTTCTGCTAGTATGGTGATGCCCACACTTCAGTCATGTGAGTCCCATCTGCTAGAGGTACCCCCCTACACATACCATATCTAACTATCCAGTCTGTGTATCATTCTACCTACCTTTTTCAATCTCTTTGTTGATGGTGGTGATAGTGCTTAAGTATTCTGGGGAGAAAAAAGACAAGAGGTTAGTTAGCCCTTTTATTCTTCCTGGCAATCTGTAGGTTCCCTGTGGGAGGTCAGCATTGGCTGGAGAAATTTCTCTGTGGTATACTAAACAAAATGAAGGTGGAATCAACTACTTTATGATCAAAGTCAATATTGGTTAGTTTCACTTGAATTTTAGCAGTGACACAATGTATAGGCAAGAGCACAGGCTTAGGAGTCCAACATTTAAGTCACCTCTCTACAATTATTTATTTATTTCTTGGCATTTCTTCTCCATCCTTCCTTCAGGAAGTCCCAGCTCCTTGTCAAATGTACCTTCCTACACATTCAACCTCTTTTCAGAAATACTTCTTTTTTTCCTTCTTTCAATAACACTGATCTCTTTTGAAGACTGTGCTTAATTTCACCCTCTTACAACTGCTTTGAGAGCATTGTTCCTCCTCTTTTTGTAAAGATCTATTTTGAGGCTTATATTATTTGGCTAGAAAAATCACAACCACTTTTTGTTACTGTTACAAGATCTCTTCATTCATAGAAGTCTTTGGACCTGGCACAGTCTTCCTCTTCCTCAATTCCCACCATGATTGTTGACTCATTCAAGACTCAAGCCTCACAGTTTCTGGACATCTTAACTCCAATGACTTTTATGTCTACTCCAATTTTATCAACTATTCCCATGGTGACATTGGACTTATTATCAAAAATTGTTCCATCTCAGAAATTTAAAATCTTCCTCTACAGGGATAACTATGAAACTCTTAGGAAGGAAATAGCAGAGGACGTAAACAAATGGAAATCCATACCATGCTCATGGGTCAGCAGAATTAACATTGTTAAATGTCTATACTACCCAAAGTGATCTACAGAGTCAATGCAATCCCTATTAAAATACAAACATCATTTTTCACAGATATAGAAAAAATAATTTTATGCTTCATATGGAACCAGAGAAGACCCCATATATCAAAAGCAATTCTAAGCAATAAAAACAAAATGGGAAGTATCAATATGCCAGATTTCAAAGTATACTACAAGGCTACAGTAATTAAATCAGCTTGGCATTGGCACAAAAACAGGGACATAGACCAGTGGAACAGAACTGATAACCCAGTTATAAAACCATCCTCATATAGCCATATAATCTTCAACAAAGCAGAAAAAATCATACACTGGGGAAAAGAATCCTTATTCAATTAATGGTGCTGGGAAAACTGGATAGCCACATGTAGAAGACTGAAGCAGGATCCACACCTTTCACCTCTCAGAAAAATAAACTCACGCTGGGTAACAGACTTAAACCTAAGGTATGAAACTATTAGAATTCTAGAGGAAAATGTTGGAAATACTCCTCTAGACACTGGACTACACAGAGAATTTATGAAGAACACCCCAAAGGCAATCACAGCAACAACAAAAATAAATAAATGGGACCTGATCAAACTAAAAAGCTTCTGCACAGCCAAAGAAACTATCACAAGAGCAAACAGACAACCTACAGAATGGGGGAAAATTTTCTCATGCTACACATCCAATAAGGGGATGATAATTAGAATCTATTTAGAACTCATGGAAATCAGCAAAGAAAAATCAAACAACCCTATCAAAAGTGGGCTAAAGACACGAACAGAAACTTTCCAAAAGAAGACAGAAGAATGGCCAACAAACATATGAAAAAATGCTCAACATCTCTAATCATCAGGGAAATGCAAATCAAAACCACAATGAGATATCGCTTATCTCCAGTGAGAATGGCCTTTATTAATGAGTCCCAAAACAATAAATGTTGGTGTGGATGTGGAGAGATAGGAACATTCCTACACTGCTGGTGGGACTGCAAACTAGTTCAACCTCTGTGGAAAGCAATATGGAGATACCTTAAAGTGATACAAATGGATCTCCCATTTGATCCAGCAATCCCACTACTGGGTATCTACCCAAAAGAAAAAAGACACTCTATAAAAAAGACACCTCCACTCGAATGTGTATAGCAGCACAATTCACAATTGCAAAGATGTGGAAACAACCCAGTGCCCATCAATACATGAGCAGATTAATAAAATGTGGTATATGTATACCATGAAGTTTTACTGAGGCACAAAAAAACAATGGTGATATAGCACCTCTTGTATTTCCTGGATAGAGCTGGAACCCATTCTATTAAGCAAAGTATCCCAAGAATGGAAAAATAAGCACCACAGGTACTCACCAGAAAACTGGTATTAACTAATCAACACCTAACTGGACATATAGGAATAACATTTGTCGGGTGTCAGGCAGGTAGGGGGAGGGGATGGGTACATACATATACAATGAGTGCAATGCACACAATCTGGGGGACGGACATGTTTGAAGCTCTGACTGGAGGGGGGGCAAGGACAATATATGTAACCTTAACATTTGTACCCCCATAATATGCTGAAAAAAATAAATAAAAAAAAGAGATTCATTAGCAATATTCCTTGAAATAGTGCTTCTAATGTATTCTAAATAATACATTTATATATGTGTGAATGTATATATAAATTAGTGCAGGTTTGCTTCCTTTGAAATTTTATATTATATATATTTACATATATATGTATAAAATTTCAAAGGAAGCAAATCTGCACTAAGCATTGATGCATACAGCCCAGTCAGTTTCAGGCTGGTCAACAAAGTGAACTCAAGAAGTATCAAAGTAATTAGAGAGGGACAGTTGTCAGGGGGGCAATGGAAACTTGAGAAATATTGGTTGGGGAAATACTTATAGGGGGAGCATGCTCTGTCTTAAGACCTGGTTCTTCTGGGATCAGAAAAGATAGAAGAGGTTTCTTGTTATTACCTTGTTACTATAGGCTAGATAAAATGGTAGAAGATGATCCATCTTGGGCAGTTAGGCTTTACCTGTTTGGGGCAAAACAGTGAAGAGCGTCTCCATGCCAGCATGAACATGGTCAGTCACATGGCAGTGCATCAGCCATGTCCCAGGGTTACTGGCCACCATCTCCACAACCTCAAAGGTCCCTGGGAACAGATCCACCACATCTGCCCGGTAGCTCTCTCCATTCTGCAAGAGAGATTGGGAGTGGAAGAGAAGAAGTGAAGGGTATAGAGCTTGTAGGAACTAAAAGTTTGTGATGTCTACATGAAGGATATAGGACTCCAAGATTCCTAGACCAAAGAGTGGCTTTAAAATTCCACTTTATCCATCTCTCCTATGAACTCACCCACACAAACTAAATCAACAGGAGACTGAGACTGACTCTCTCCTTTTTCTTAAAGTGTCCCAAAGTAGAAGACATTTCAAATCCTGTAGATGGCTCAAAACTGGTACCTCCATACTTTCCTGCAGGCTATAAACTGGGGAATTTGGTTTAAGCCTTGACCCCTAGGAATGAGCCACATAGTTCCTTTAGAAATGCATTCAAATTACATTCTCTTCCTTTATCATCACTTCTAGATATCTATGTCTATCTCAGTGCCTCCAAATCTGCCCCCTTTTTCTAGGAATAAATCTCAATCTCTCTATATATAGATCTATCTATCTATACAGACACACACACACACACACACACACACACACACATACACACACAGATAGATAGATAGATATTTCCATGTATATTCAATCCTGAATTGAATTTCTTCTTATAATGCATTAAGGACTTTCAGAGATTCTGAGAAGCCACTCTGAAATTCCTTGCTCTTAGGATTACTCCTCATTGAGTCTCAAGTTGTTGACCTGATTACATTGGTTCCTTCAATCTCTTTACCCCACAAATGAGCCAATACTTCTCTTCCATATCAGAAGGAAAAACTAAGGCCTAGAGGGAAGTGACTGATTCTAGGATATACAACCAGACCAGAATTCCCCACTAATGCTCCATGTACTAGACCTCTCCTCTTTTAACTGAGTATTACCTTGTTTCTTTCTATCCCCCTCTTCCTCAATGACTGTCAAGGCACCCCTGTAATCACCCTTGAGGGACTCAGCCCTTTTTCCATCTCACCCGATAGAGGAAGCTCTCTGCATGAAAGTGGACAGTGTGTAGATCAATATCTTGGCCCATGGCCAGCATGTACCAGGCCACTCGTTCTCCTTGATACATGGTAAGACCCCTGAGGTTGGCATAGAGCTTCCCATTGATAGCTGTAAAAGAAGAATAAGTCTCTTACACCTCTCCTTTTGACTCCTAATCGCCACTGTCCAGATCTAGTCCCTGTTATCTATGATAGCAATAGGTTTCTAACTTGTCTCAAACTTATTGATCTGTCCCCTTCCAGTATATCTTCCACATCAATGTTGTCAGAATGATCTCTCTAAATAACTATCCTACCATGTCATTCTGCTGCTTAAAATATTTTAGTAGCTCTTTCCTGCCCAATAAAATAGGTCCATGTCTCCTTAGCTCAGCCAACAAGGTCCTTCAGAATATAGCTCCAAATCACCTTCCCAGAGACATCTCCCACTAGCCAACACATCTACTCCAATTAGGGTAATTTCTTCACCATTACCTATATGGTCCACACATGTTCTTTGTGTATTTATGTTTATATGCTTCCCTCCCAGTAATCCTGTCTCCTTTTATCCATCTTTTCAAAGCCAAGTTAAATCTTTACCTTCTCCAAGAATTTCCTGATTTCCTATCTCCATTTCATACCACCCATTCCCTACATCCTCTTCTAACTCTGTACTCCCCCAGTACTATTTGTATAACTCATTGGAATTCACCAGAAACTGTTTTCTACATTTACCTATCTTTTAATGTATGAAAGCTTACATCCCCAACTAGACTATAGGTTATTAGTAAGCAGGAAACGAATGTGTATACTACAGTACTATAGCTTCCTGGTATTTTTTTAGAACACCCATCAGACATCTGAGCCTACAATGAATATTTAAAAGACTTGTCATATTACTAGAATTAATAATGACATTAATGCATGGGCCTCATGATCTATTTTTTCCTGAGCCACATCCTATGCTCCAAAGACACCAAACTACTCATTGCCATATCAATTCACACTGTTAGGACTTTGCCCAGAACAATTTCCCCCTACTTCTTGTGTTCCCGCAGAGGAAAGGTAATTTCCACTTTACTCCTTAAGAGGGGAAACAATCATTTATAGTCTGTCTCTATGTGTACCCCCATCAAATTGTGAATTTGAGAGAAGAAACTAAACATGATCGGCTCATCCTTTTCTGGATCTTCTCTCTCTCTGATCAATCCAACCACTGAAAGGGGTGAAAATTGATCACTGTAAGATTTTGCCTCTGTCAAGGGGGAGAGTTATTATCCATCTATGTCAATTGCAAGGTGGAAAAATCTATACATCACAAGAGGAGTATTAGCAAGCCCATTTAGTTATAGAACTGAATTCAGTTTTTCAATTATCCTCCGTAATAAAGCTCACATTTGATCTTCAGTATCTCTCTTCCTCAGTTGGTTCAGGAATCTTAAAGGGAAGGGACGGGTATTATTTATTTGTCCCCTTGGACCCTAACATTATTTATCTTTATATCTCCAGTGCTATCATTTCAGAAAATTATCAATAAATACCTGCTAGATGGATAGGTGGATGGATTGATACCTGAATAGTTTGGATGAATAGACATATAAATAAACAGATTAATGTGGGCATTAGCCAAACACATGCATTAACAGGACCTAACTCTGTCCTCATTCCCTTTTTGTCCTGAGTCATTTCTCCAATTTAACAAGAGCTAAAAAGTTCACCTTGTAAGTTTTGAATTATCTGTTCTAATGTGAATCACTCATCTCTCCATAAAGGAGAAAGAGCTAAAATCTGTGGGACAATGAAATACTACTTTTGAGTTCTGTTAGAGTCACCATCAAAGCTACACTTCATCCTTAGATCAAAGAAGTCTTGGGCTAAAGGGGATGGTGAGAGATCACTTCATACATTCTACTGCACTAAAGCTCTCTCTTTCTCTTGTTTTTGAAAAGCTACAGCTACACAGATCACAGACCTCTAGAGCAAAGGAAGGCTTGATGCATAATTTCCCTCCAAAATCTATTCAAGCATCAAAAAGTTCTCTCTTGCACCTCACATAAATCTAGTATGCTATTCTCTGAGGCTTTCTTCCCTAATTCCTCAATCTGTAAATTGAACCTTTGTATTAAAAACAGAATAAAAGATGAGCTGTCTTCATCTGTCTATATAGGAGTCCAGTGAGAAAGCAAATCCCAAATTTTGAGTGGTAAAAAAAAATATGATATTGGAAGACTAATAATACTAGGTACATTAAGGGTCATAAATGTCCATTTTGCCTTCTCTAATACATTAAAATTTGCAGTGCTACTACAGCAAATTTATTACATCAGCTTCCTGCTTTCTAGGGACCTGATCTAATCTAGACCATACATCTGCTTTGTGTGTGCATATATGTGTGTGTATGTATGTGTGTGTGTGTATAAAATAATAAATATTTCTTCTAATTTGTCCCCATTCCACCTTCCCATATTTTCTTGAATTATGCTCTCTTAAGTAGTAATGGGCCTATTAAATATCCCCATGCAACCAGCAGGGACTTCATTAGAAGAGGAGTAGGTTCGTTTCTACAGACCATGCATTTTATTGCTCTCCAAGAAAGTTTCATCCTGTAGGTTAACATGGCCTCGCTCCTGGGGCCCATGGGTTGCCACATTTTCCTCCAGGTACCAAGATTGATTCTCATCAAAGATCAAAAATAATAATGCAAATTCCCGGTCCATGTCTCTCCGTCCTCCATGGGACTCCAGGATTCCCTTTCGGCAGATAACCAAGGGCCCCACCAGGCCACTATACATGTCCTGAGGAAGGGAGGAAGTGACAGAGAAAGAAAGAGATGGGGTTGGTACTAGGTAGCAGCTCTCTGCAGGGAGCCAGACTCTTATACGAGCCCACTGTACCCATCATCATTTCATCATAATTTCTTATAAGCACCCCACTATGTTATCTAAATTTAGTCTCATAATCATCTTTGAACTTGGGTAGGATATGTTATCTAGCCTATGCCTTAGCTAGGCTGAACTATCCATTGATCTCCAAATCAACTAAGCACTTCCACAACCCAGTGTCATTTTTCATACTGTTTTCTCTGTCTGCAATGCCCTCCCCTTCACCATATCCCTTACCTGATAGTATACTGTTATACAGCTTTTAAGGCCCAGACTACATGTACCTTCTATTGTGATGCCTTTTCTAGCTCCCCTCTTCCTCAACTAGACCATGCTTTTTGAAGGTGGGGAATGGGTTTTTTTATTTATTTTTTTTTTCATTTTAGCACATTATAGGGGCACAAATGTTTAGGTTATACATATTTCCTTTGCTCCGCCTGAGTCAGAGCTTCAAGCATGTTCACTCCCCAGACAGTGCGCACTGCACCCATTAGGTGTGAATATACCCATCACCTTCTCCCCCGTGAAGGTGGAAAATGTTATCTTACATCTATATCATCTAAAGCACCAAGTGAAATACCTAAAATGTAGTAGGCACTCAATAAATGATTGCTGATGACTGGCTGTAGATAGGTGGCTAGATAGATAGATTCACTTTCCAGATAAGTAAACACATGCAAAATGACTTGTCTAAAGTCACTCCGAAGGCATGCTAGAACGAAATTTGGGACTAGAATCCCAATCTCAAGACAACTAATCCTAGGTTTTTTTAGTGAAAGCATATTGCTTTACAGGATGCAAAAAGAAGAGACAAGGAAGAAAATCATCAGGACAAATATCCGGTGCTACCTATTCCCTTCATCTCTCTATTTGAGGAATTTTTCCGAAACCTTAGGCTCTAGTATCTTAGGAGTGGGCTTCTTATTACATCTAGTTAATAACTTCTTTTTCCCAGGCAGTTTGCCCATTTCTGACACTCAACTCCAAGTAGCAAACTTTGTCTTTACCTTGATTGGATCCACTGCAGAATAATAGATCCAGGAAACACAAGCAGAGTCATTAGGACCAGGGCCAGATCTCTCTGGTATGTTCCATTGATAAGTGAGTACTTCACCTAGAAAAGGTAACAGGAGACCTCCAGTTGGACCAGATCAGAAATTTCTCTCAACTCCCAGGTCTCCCTAAGGGGCTGTTGTGGATAGGTCCCAGCACTTTTATGATCTTTCTCTTCTCCCTCCTAGGATACCCTCAACCTCTCAACCATTCTCATCTTCTCTCCCAGTCCTTAAAGTCTCAGGTACAATCCTTCAGTAAGGCAGCCCTGCTATTGTTTTATCTACTTTTAATGTCCTCTTTTTGGCTCCATTTTGGTCTATTATTCCTGCTGCTGCCTTCTAAATGCAGTTGTTTCCACAAAGCCCTGTCTTGTTTTCTTCCTCTCTCTTTTCACAGTCTCTCCATGCATGCTTTCAGTCACTTTCTGATGTAAACTATGATCTATGCATTAATGATTTAAATATTTAGCTCCAGCCAAACATCTTTTGTTACTAACCTCCAATCCCAAATTTTCAACTAGATACTATGCATCTTTTAAAGACTGTCCTAGCAATACCTCAAAAGCTGAAAGTGTTATGAATTCAGCTTCCTCTGAAAAACAACCCTGTTTCTTAATCTGTCCTCCCAGAATCTACAAATAACATCATCACTCTCCTACTTACCCAGTCTCAAAATTTTAGTCTTCTTTGCCTCCTCACCGTCATACATTCATTATCCAAATGACAAGTCTTATTGATTCTACTTTTATAATATAGTTTATAGCCATCCTCTCCACCTCCTAAATCCCATTACTCCTGTACTAGTTTAGACCCTTGTTTTCTCAACTGGGCTATTACAAAACCTCCTAACACATGTCTCTGCTTCTAGCCTTGCCCTCTCCAATCTATCTTTCAATTTATGCTATCTTAATCTTTTTTATATCAACTTGATTGAGATATAATTTACATACCATACAATTCACCCATTTAAAGTGTACAATTCAGTGTTGTTAGTATATTCACAGAATTTTGTAACCACCACCACAATCCATTTTAAAATATCTTGTTACCACCAATAAAAACCCCTTTACCCCTCTCACTCCCTAATCCACCTACCCACACCAAAGCAATCTCTAATCTACTTTGTGTCTCTATAGATTTGCCCATTCTGAACATTTTGTAAAAATTGAATTATACAGTACATTTTCTTTTGTGATTAGATTCTTTCATTTAGCATAATGTTTTCATGGTCCACCAATATTGTAGCATGTGTCAGTGCTGAATTGCTTTTTATTGCCAAACAGTATTCCATTGTATGAATATATTAATACTACAATATTTTAATCATTCATTATTCAGTTGATGGACATCTGGGTCATTTCCACATTTTGGCCATTATGAATAATGCCACTATCAACATCTGTGTCCAAGTTTTTGTGTGGATATATGTTTTCCTTTATCTTGGGTATATACCTAGGAGTATAATTCCTGATTTATATGGTAACTGTTTAACCATTCCAGGAATTGCCAAACTGCTTTCCAAAGCAAGTGTATCAGTTTGTATTCTCATCAGCAACATTATGAGGGTTCCAATGTCTCAACAGCCTCATGAAAATTAGCTATTGTCTACTTTTAAAAAAAATTTATTTTGGATATCCTAGCAAGTCAGAAGTGTTATCTCATTGCACTTTTGATTTACATTTCTCTGATAGCTAATGATGTTGAGCATCTTCTCTTGTGCTTATTGGCCATTTTTAGTATTTTATTAGGAGAAATGTTTATTCAAATACTTTGTCCATTTTTAATCGGGTTATATTTTTTACAATAATACTGTCAAACAACAATGACATTGAGTTATAGTTCCTTATGTATTCTGGATACAAGTCCTTTATCAGATATATGATTGCCAAGTTTTTTCACATTCTGTGTGTTGTCATTTCACTTTCTTTATGGTGTCCTTTTTATTGAAGTTTTCAATTTTGAAGTAGTTCAATTTACCTATTTTTTATTTGGTCAATTGTGCGTTTGGTGTTGAATCTAAGAAACCATTGCTTAATCCAAAGTTATGAAGATTTCCTCCTTTGTTATTTTCTAAGAGTTTTATAGTCTTAGCTTTCACATTTAGGCCTTATTCTATTTGAGTTTATTATTCTGTATGCTGTGAGGTAGGAGTCTAATTCCACTGTTTTGAAATATGGACATCCAGTTGCCCCAGCATCATTTGTTGAAAATGTTAGTCTTTCTCCATTGAATGGTCTTGGCATCCTGGTTAAAAATCAATTGACCATAAATGTGAGCATTTATTTCTGGACTCTCAAGTCTATTCCATTGATCTATGTCTATCCTAAAGAGTAAGTTTGGACTTGATATGGCTGCAGCCTCTGCCTGCCTGGGAGGGGACAGGGAAATAAGGCTTTCCAGAAAACATCTGGGACAGTGTCCACCATCCTGCAGCCAGTTGCCGTGGGACCAAGTCTCAAAAAAACACGCTCCCCACAGTTTCTTGCCAGTGCAGCCACCTGACAAGGGCCCCACCCTTTCTGGTCAAAGGCCCAGGGCACAATTTTGGGAGTTTGAAGCCTGGCACCATCTCATCCTTGGAATGAATTTCGGCTGATGCAGCCATAGCTCCACCCAGCTGATAAGGGACAGGGAGCCCAAAGCTCTCTACCTACTCCGAGGAAATTCTCACTGCCCAGTTACAAGCTGCAGTGAGACTGAGATATGAGCAGACGGCACTCCATTCAACATCTTTTATATGCTGTTGGCCTAGAAGTGGCCTCATATTTTCTGGTCACAGGTCTAAGATGCCATTTGGGGAGTTTAGATCTGGGCAGCACCCCATTCTCCGGCTGAGTTCAGGCTGATGCAACTGAAGCCCTGACAGCTGAGAAGGAGCGGGTAAGTCCACCCTCTCCTATACACACCTAGAAAAATTTCTACCACCCTGTTACAGGGTCCTGTGAAACATGTGAGTAGACAGCACTCCCCACAGTTTCATTCCCATGCAACTTACTTAAAAGGGGCGCTGCCCTATTTGATTGGAAGCCCACACTTGGTAACATTTTGAGAGTTTAAAACAGGGCCATGCCCTGCATGTGGGCTGAGTTCAAGGTAATATGACTGTAGCTGCCACCTGGCCAGGAAGAGACAGGAGGACCAGCTTATCCTAAGGACACTTAAAAAAAATACCCACTACCCTGTTACAGGCAGCTGTGGGACTGGGGACTAGAGAACCTACCCACATACTTGGTACCCTGCTCCAAATACTAGCTTCTGAGCAAGCCACCCGAAGACCAAAGAAAAGTTCCTCTAGGACAAACCAATACTGCTGCCAGTATAAGTACTCTGAGGCCTAAAATCAGACATATTCAGCCTACTGCTTCCACCACCGGGGTCCAAAGACTGGCTCAGCTTCTTTTCAAATGCCCAGCAAAACTTCACCACATCCCCAACAAATAACCATTCCCTAAGCCACCAAGGAAATCACAGATGCTACTGATCCTGTGTACTACCCAAGAAGTCACACTACTGCAGACACCCAGATTCAAAGCCAAAGTTTCCTACTCAACCAACAATATATATACACCTTCAGGAAAATATTCTTCCCTTTGAAAACAATTTCAAAAAATTAGAACAGGCAAGCACTACATCAAATGTGCAGATATCAATGGAAGGACACGGGAAATGTGAAAAAGCAAGAAAATATGATACCATCAAAGGATCACAACAATTGCCCAGCAATGCATCCCAATCAAAATGAATTCCTTGCTGTGTGCGGTATCTCACACCTATAATCTTAGCACTCTGGGAGGCTGTGGAGGGAGGATAGTTTGAGCTCAGGAGTTCAAGACCAGCCTGAGCAAGAGTGAGACCCTGTCTCTACTAAAAATAGAAACAAATTAGCTGGACAACTAAAAATATATAAACAAAATTAGCTGGGCATGGTGGTGCATGCCTGTAGTCCCAGCTTCTCAGTAGGCTGAGGCAGAAAGATTGCTTAAGCCTAGGAATTTGAGGTTGCTGTGAGCTAGGTTGATAGATTGATGCCATGGCACTCTAGCCTGGGCAACAGAGCAAGGCTCTGTCACAAACAAACAAACAAACAAACAAACAACAACAAAAAAACCCCAAAAAACAGAATTCCTCATAATGCCAGATAAATAATTCCAAATATTATTTATAAATAAGCTCAATGAGAAAAAGTGAAAGCTTCAAGAATAGACTAGATCAAATATAAGAAAGAATCTCAGAACTTGAAGATAGGTCTTTTGAAATAATCCAGTAAAGCAAAAATAAGGAATAAAGATTTAAAAAGAATGACCAAAGCCTTTGAGATATCTAGTGTTACATAAAGTGACTGAAGTTACAAATTACTGGTGTTTCTGAGGGTAAAGAGAGACCAAAAAGTTTATAAGAACTATTTCAGGAAATAATCGATGAAAAATTCCCTGGACAACCAAGAGATATAGACACTCAGATGCAGGAGGCCAAATCCCAAGGCAAATACATTGCAGAAAGGACTTTACCAGGGCATATTGTAACCAGAATGATTAAAGTCAAAACGAAAGAGAGAATTTTAAGGTTAGTAAAAGAGAAGCATATAATCATATATAAAGGAAACTCCATCAAACTAATAGCAGATCTCTCAGCAGAAACCTTAGAAAACAGAAGAAAAGGGATGGCATTTTCAATGTGCTGAAAAAAAGTCAACCAAGAATTTTATATCCTGTGAGAATAAGCTTCATAAATGAAAGAGAAATAAAATCTTTCCCAGACAAGCAAGTGCTGAGAGAATTCATCATCACTAGACCAGCCTTACAGAATATACTCAAAGTAGTCTTAAATATGGAAATGAAAGGTCAATATTCACTATGATGAAAACACACAAAAACATAAAACCCAAAGGTCTTATAAAACAATCACAAAAAGGAAGAAGAGAAAGGAATTAAATGGTAACATGCCAGAAACTCAGCAAACCACAAAGACAAAGACAGAGAAAAAGAAAGAAAGAAACTATAAAACAACTAAAAATCAACTAACAAGAAAAGAAATAAAAATATAAATTAAATAGTTTTTT